CGCTGAGTGAGTGACAATGTCTAGATGATTTTGACACTTTGCATCATATGTCCTTATACTTGTTCTGTAGGACAAGTAAGGTAAGTACGCGGACAGTTGACTATCCGAGTAAATGATGAGTTCAAGTGACTGTTACATTTGTTTCGGTAGAACTTTGACCCAACGGGACCCAGCGGGCTGATTACTGAACTTCGTCTGCCTTGTTGCTTGGTCCACTTTTCCATTTAGGTTTTGGAATGTCTTTTCGTCCTTCATCCTCGGACATCTTATTCGCAACTAAAGTGGTGGTTTCGGTTTTAATCCGTATATGTATGCTTCTTAAGCAGTATGTGGGCGGTCCCTTCATACGGTGGTAAACGCTTGAATACCCAGTGTTTAAATGATGATAACAGTAGGTTTAGAATACGATTGTCGGTGGAACTTGGCCCAGAACTCACAACTAAATGTTATGAAATTGTCTACATTTGCGGACTTCATGTAGTGAGGTGGTCCACTGACATATGCATCATGGCATTGATTATTGAACATGTTTCGCTGTCTACACTTACAATACTGGGTCATCAGTCTGGCCGAAGGATAAGCATTTATCCCGTTTCAGCCGGCCCAGCCGGTCCTTCCTATCCTACAACATTAAAAAGTCCCATCGACATATCAAAGGCCTTTGACTCTACTCTTTCGTGTGATTAAAACAAAAGTTACTTTCTCAACCCTCCCCTTTGATCACTCGAATCATGGCCCAAGCATTCAGCAGCCTCCCTGGCGGGGTTCTCAAGACCCCCGAGAAGTGGGTGGGGTACGGCTATGGCGCTCCATCCAGCCTATTGTTGGGACTGGTTTGATGAAACGTGGGCTCATAAGCCTAGTTGGGTTGAAAAGGCAAAAGAGATGGTTGCCGACGTCTGGCTGTCCGATTACGCTCATCTCGAGGTTAGAACCAGCAGCAGCAGAGGCGACGACGAGCCTCCAGCAAAAAGAGCTCGGTTTTTCAACCCCTCCGAGAAGAACAGCCGTCTGCCAAGCTCAACACCAGCCTCCGCAGCAGCTATTGTTGGTGACGAGTACCAAGCGTGGCAGACGGATCGTGACGTCAGCGACGGCAACGTTCGTGATCCAATTGGTTACTGGATCACTAAGCAAAGCAGATATCCTCGATTATCCAGGATGGCCTTGGACTTCCTGACAATCCAGCCGATGTCAGCCGAGTGTGAGAGGTTATTTTCAGCTGCTGGCAAGATGGTCTCGGGGTTGCGTACAAACCTAGATGCTGAGATTATCGCCATTTGTCAGGTTTTACGCTCTTGGTACCGTGCTGGCATTATCAAGGACCTGGATCCATTGCTTAAGTCGCACCTTGAAAGTAAGCCCTCTTTAATGCATCGGAAATTTCAAGACACAAGTACAAAGCGCTTGGACGGCACTTGCGATTGGGTCATACATCATGAAGCATTCCGCAAGTGGTATGAATCTCAGGATTCTACGATCTTATCGCTATGCGGCAGTAGTAAGCTTTTATTCCCAAGTCCAATCGGAACACCCTTGGATCGCTGACGAGATGATCAGTGGGGACAGGGAAGACATATGCCACATCGAGAGTCGTTGACTGGATTGCATCATCTCTTGAAGAAAGTAATTACGATGAAGCATTCGCATATCATTACTGCTCCAAGAAAAACACATACCCCTCTAAGCCTACAGCAATTCTACGCAGTATTGTGAGGCAGGTTGCTACCAGGCTGTGGAATCGGCGCAAAGATATCATCGCCCTAGATGAGTCTGTTATCGAGATCTGGAACAGACATCAAGAAGGCCGCCATTTCTACAACACTTTCGATGAATGGAAAGACTGCCTCTTCAAACTTCTCAGCAAATACCCCAGAATCACAGTGGTGCTAGACGCACTTGACGAGTGCGAGGAAGACGACCAAGAGATTTTAGTCAAGTTCTTCAATTCCCTTGTAACCCGGTCGACGAAGGACAGTAACGTGAAGATTTTCGTCTCCACCAGGGATGAGAGAGGCCTATCCCAACTCCTGAACCAGCATCCCGCCATCTTGATGCATAAAGGGCATACTGCTGAAGATATAGCAGTTTTCGTGCGAGAAAAAGTTCAACAGCACAGTGAATGGCTCCACATGAACCGTGAGCTTCAGGACCATATACTCAAGACTCTCGTGAAGGATAGTCAAGACATGTTCCTGTTCGCTAAAGTACAAATCGAGAGTCTGCGTCAATACTCGGACGAAGGAGATATACGACGTGCACTCAAAAAGCTTCCGGAAACTTTGAGGGTGACATACGATGAGATTTATCAAATTGCGACGAAGATCCCAGGAAATAAGAGACTTGTTGATAGCGCTCTTCGGTGTGTCGTACGCTTTGCGAAACCATTGACTACCGACGAGTTGCTTCTCGCAATTACTAACGACTCTGATTCAAATGTCGATACTGCAAACGAGAGGGACATCAAAACCTGGTGTAACAACCTCTTGAGGCTGGAAGCCAGCTCCGACGACAGCTACGAGGGTCGTTTAGTGTGGCGTTTGGCGCACCAAGCAGTTGCGGCATCTCTTGAGAACAGAATGAATTTGGGTATCGAGAATCACACATTTAAGCAAAAACATATTGGAGTAGACCCAAATGTATCTTCTTAATATTGACGTCGGGTTACATATCCCAAGCCGCTTCCTGGATCGGAAGACCCTACCGTGTTGGATAACAGCGAGGCGTTGTGCTGAGTGGGGGCGGAAAGTACATTGAAACCCATTACGTCTTGGTAAGCCAAAAGCGGGGAAGTTGCAACATGGCCGCCAATGAACCATTTGCTTCCTTCACGACCCATGTGGTCAATGCAATCCCGCCCAAGTGAGTACAGGAGATACAAAGCTGAAATGGAACGTGACAGCACGTTTCGGGAACCTCTGCGTTGACTGCACCAGAAACTCGTCGGTTCATAGGCAGCGACTGCTTCGGCGGCGCTTCGTCAGCACGCTTAGTCAGCAGCCAGCTGCACCTTCTTCGGCGCTTCTATCGCCCAGGCAGAAGCAATCAACCCCCTCTTTCTCGATCATCGATAACTTAGCCTTATTCACTCAAAACATATCAGGCAGTTGCTGCGCCATCCACCGATTTACAAACTCAAATTCTACCTTCCCCATACCATGACTGCTATGGATCAAATTTTGGAATCTCTCTCGGCCAGGATATCGGCCACAAACGAGGCAAATAAATTCCTAGGCCCACAGACTTCGTCCTTCGAGCAGTTGGTGAGAGACCATAACGCAGAACGGACAAGGCTAGATGACGAGTACAAAACTCGGAAGGCGGAAATACACGCGAGCCTACGTCAGGAACACGACAGATTCATTTCGACTTTAGTGGATGGTTTGAATTCGACTATCGAGAAACGAGTCAGCCTACGCTTGGAGGAACACGAACTAGATCGCGCTTCTGAAGACAGGAAACGAAGAGCGGCGGAGAGTGTGCTTAAATTGGTAACAGATTTGATTTGTAATCCGAGACCAAAGCAAAATATGGCTTCGGGCTCAGATCCCCTGGACAGACTATCGACTTCCCCAACAGTAGTGGTAAGTCTTTGAATAGTTGGGGTCTCCTTACCATAATTGCTGACGACGGCAATGAGCAGGCAACTATTGATGGGTCGCCGGGCACGCTGCATCAGACGCCTCTGCCAAATGACTCGAATACCTCCTTCCCTAACCGAGAATTCCGTGTTACCACACGGCAACGGTCTCCCGCTCCGCCGCGACCTGTGCCTACACCTGGAGGCGAATCGTCCTGCTCCGCACAACATCCACGTGAACAGCCAATACCGGACGATCGTGCATCGCAGCAAACGCCTGCCACAGGAGCAACTCCAACCACTGTAAAGAGGAGAAGGCCTAACTTAGAATATGCAAGCGCGATAACCACGAAACGCCGACGTGTAAAGAACTCAGCAGCGCCGCAAGCCTCGTCCGCCAATTCAGTTGAAAGGAAAACAGACCGCGAGATCACCTTCCAACAGGTCTTTCAGGGCGGTCAAGCCAAATATAAGCACAAGATCTTCGAATTGGACGAAGGGTCTGGTGATTGGTATATCGTTAAATGCGATGAACACGAAGTGCACTTCGGCTCGAAAAACCCCGTACGCGGCGCTGCTAAACATATAAATAGCCCCCAACATTCAAATCTGGAAAGGACAAACGACCTTGCCATTCAGGAATGTGGCTTTCTTGTCACGGATTGTACAGCCGAGCTTGCCAGAGAAAACAACAAGAATTTCGAGGATGCACTGAAACAAGGCTACAATATCTTGAGACCGTCGAAGAACAAGGATGCGAACAGTCCGCGAAGCGGCCCATCCGGGAAAAAGCAAGTAAAGCCGCGAAAGACGAAACCCGAAGATACTCATGTTCCGGCTGCCGAGGAGTTCGGCGACCAGGGACGTCATAACTTGCCGACCTGTGTTGAATCTAATGGGGAGGTATCTGATTGCATAATAATTCCTTCAGCCTCGGAACCGCGTATGGATGTAGAGGTTGCATTCGAAGACGAGAGGAACAATAAGGACTCGGGTGCTCTTCATGAAGACTCGGCCTCTAATCACGACCTGGTACCACCAGACTCTGAGAAAGCTAGCACAGGAAAGCAGGATGCTCACCATGGGTTCGGGGATCGTGCAATAACACTTCAGTGCTCAGATACTGAGGGTGTTATTTGCATTAACGGTGGAACGCCACCTAGGCATCCAGGTATAACTGAAGGTGTTGTGAACCTAGCAGCTGCCAGCGCCCTTCTACAGCTCCGCGGGGGTCTCATATCATGAGGGCATGAATTTGCGTCGTGTTTCGCTCCCGATTTGGTACCATTACCCCAGGAAGACTGTCACCCGTGCCCGCCTCTCATAGCAGACTTTGCAGACCTCTCATGATCCCAGAAACGATATAGCCAGTCAGACCAGAAAAGAAGACAAAAAGGGAACGCTTCTGATGCCATCAACACAATCTTGCCAGGAATCGAACCAAGGTCCCCTACACTTAAGCAGGTGCCATCAGCACTAGGCTACAAGCCTCTTGAAAGCATATATCTCTGAGCTTGTCAAAAGTGTCACCAGGAGGTGACTGCTATCCAGAAAACCTATGAGCTCAAGACTCCGCTTTTCCGTGATCATTGAGACATCTTCGTCCACAGCTGACGTGTCACCATCGTCCTTCTCAGTTATGGAGCTCTCGGTGCCTTGATCGAATGTTTTTGTACTGCCGGTGGATGAGGAGCGGGACACAGAGCCTCCTTTCCCAGATAGGGTGGCATCTTCGCTTGCATCACGCACAGGGTACTCTTTGCAGCAACGGGATGCGAAGAAATGAGGCGGTGGTGATTGTCATTAGGAATAGGCAGCCAGATGACTATCAATCCGCGTTTAGCACGTATTCGTCATGTAGCTGATTGAGTGACTCACAATAGAACCGGATATCGATCGTTGAGGTATTTCCTTTCCGTCTCTATCTAGGAGGGTAGAAATCAGATGAACGATAGCGTGGCCTGTTGCGATACGACCAGTCCAGCGATGGATCATGTTATTCGTTGATAACGGCAGTTCTAAGTACTCCGTAATAAGGTTGCGTCTACCACCAAGCGATGTAAAAAGTATGTTCAGCAAAGAAAGTAGACCAGACTTGCTGCTAAGGGTATCGAGAGGTAGGAAGTATGGTACAGTGTTTGAAACTAAGAAAAACAGGATAAGTATCGCCTCGAACCTAGACACATTTACGTAAGTTGTAGATGCGAGTAGAAGTGGCGTCCGAATATAGCGGAAATATACAAAAACAATATAGACTAAGAGAGGTCGGCCGATAATTAAGCAGAAACGGTGGAGATAAAGGGTAAAGACTAGACTTCCCGTCATAAGAAGGTATATAGCGATGTTATCCAGATAAAGAGGAAGCTCGTTGTCAGTGCTTGTATCCATCATAGGCGATAGAGGTGTGTTAAACGTAAAACTATTAGTGGACTGAGAAATCAGAGCCGGGGGAAAAGCAAGCGATGGAGCATATTATATAGTTTAATGCCTTTATTTGTTGCAAGGGGGGCCCAGGGGGACTCAGGAATAAGAATATTATTCTAACACTGTCGCGTTTCCGTATTTCGTTCACCGGCTGAGTGACGAGACGTGCCAAGACTAGGGTTAGGGTCAAGGACCCACTTACCAGAGATGAAGACTCTCTGCACGTGCCACGTACATTATGACCCATAGTATGTTTCAATAGTGGGCGCGAAAGTGCAAAAGCAAAATAGGAAGATAAAGTTTAAACCGTATACAGTAGTACTGTACAGTCCTATAAGCATGCTTAAAGAGCTCATTAAGGAACCATGAAATGAGTTTAAAAAAGCAGAAAAAGACTAAATGCACTAGATGATGGTTGTTTGGCAGGTCATTACGCAGCTTGAGTCTCGAAATTGAGTAATCCTAAAATACGATTTACGGGTCCCTCAAGTATATGTAATTGGTAAGAACAGCATCACTGATTGATTCATGTTATGCACCAGACATCGCAGCGAAAGATTTTCACATTGACTTACAAATTCATGATGATCCCTTGAATTCATGATGGATTCATCAGCTTCAACAATCGCAACGAGTCCAGCGCCAAGTCCAACGCACTCTTGGTCCACCGGTTACAGTTCAGCCATAGACGGTGTGCAAATGGCTCGGTGCAGCATGCTTGACCACTGTGAATGCGGCAGCATATGCCAGAACCGCGAGCTGTATGATCGAACTCTATTCCCTCCTTACTGTTCCTCGTGCGCTGATTCACTACATCAGACAACTGCCAGCTACCACGAAGACCGTATACGAGTCCTGGACTTTGGCGTATCACCGGCCCGCGATACACATAAGTACTCAGGTCAAGAGCTTTTGTAATTTTCAGTATCTCCGTAAAACCCCTAGACAAAACACTGGCCCGGCTCAAAACCAGGCGACCCCGATACCTCCTCCCAAGGCCGGATCATTCGCCTCCCTGAGGGACAGGAAAAGGGTGTTTGGCCCAAAGTGAACATCAAAGAGCGCCAGAGCGTCGAAGAGCTTTTTGGCATTTCACCGCCGATTCGTCCTTGATTCCCAGCAGAGACCCAAACAACTCAACCAACTCAACGGACGACCTATATTGAGTTGCATGAACGGATGGTCTTTAGCCAGAGTTTCTCCATTGTCTTGGGGTTTCTCCGACATAAGCGGGCAAGTACTTGATGCTTTTGGCTGTGGATCTCTAACCCAAATGACCTCAAGTGGTTCGGTGGCGGATGCACACTTTGCCCTCTGGTCGATGAGTAGACATAGCTCACTAGGAAATGAATTGATCAAATTTAATCCCCATCTAATTGGCGAAAGCATCTTCAGGAAGTCATTTAGAAAGACAATATTTCGGATCCAGAAGACGGCCTCAGCGCGGCTCGCGCCTGAGACGTTGCCTCCCAGACTGCGACGGAAGCCAATATATAAGTATGCGCTGGAGTCGGTAGGCTGAAAGACAAAGCTCAAACAGAACGGCCCTCTGACGCCATTGACCCCACGATTACAAAAGATCAAGTCATCAGTTTTCTTCGATTTTGCAAGGCGCCTACAATGTCGCTTTTTCAAGCCCTCCCAACAAATAGCCTGGGACCTTTAAATCTCGAGAAGCGCGTTTTGAGGGTAAGGGATGGCTGGCACCGAGGGCCATTTTGAGTTATTGGCGGAAGGGCCTCGAGGAGCCGAGACTAGCTCCCAACACTCTCTCTGGATAACTGCCTACGGCGCGGAATAAGAGGGACTTTGGTTGCCTGATAAGTACACGGTCCTTCTTGGGGACCTGGGCCCGCCGTGTCGAAAATGGCGGGGCGCCCCAGCCAGATTCGGCGGCTAGAACCGCCACCTCGATTTAAATAAATACATTTCTGGTACTGTACTGTACTGTACATCTGGGGGCAATAAATAACTACCAATTCGTTGAACATTTCGGTTTACTTTTGGTGACAGATCACCTTGCGGCTTTCCTTGCCAAGTGTCAGATTGACCAACAAAATCCCGGTATTTTTGGCGAGATGATGGTCCTTTTCATTTGTACTTCGCAGAGCAGTTTCCCCGCCTCACTCTCAGGCCCCCAATCGGATATCTCAACCTGGTCACGGGAAGGCCGGTGCTTCTAAGACGTAGATGGGGCCCGACGCCCGACACTGGCATCAGCATCAAGCGTCAATGCGGCCCGGCTCTAGGGAATCGCCACAAGATTATAATAAGGTATTGTACCATGTCGTACAGCACTTCCTGAGAAATCATGTAGTATGCTGCAAAGGACTTATTATAGTTTTGTTACATTTGATCTTTGGTTTTTCGCCAATATAGTACTGTACATATGTATAGGGACGCTCAAGCTACAATATGTACTTCAAGCGTACTTCTCAAAATATATAGTATTTTTGAGAAAGCGAATTTCGCTGCAGACTGAATTTTGATGCTACAGTACTGTATAATTTACTTCACGAACTTGCAGATCTCAAGTTAGAATCCATGAAGCTCATGCATTGTACTTACACAGGCTGTAGATTATATAAAGCAGGTGTTTCTTCCCCAGCGTATACCTCTTTTTCCATGAGCTTTTCAGCGTCTTAATTTCCACAACGGTATTGCTTTTCTCTTGTGAGGAAAAGTGGTTCCCAAAGAAAATGACTGAATTTCAGCAACAGCTCGAGGAGCTCAAACACGAGCTTGCGGTGTTGAAAAGCCGTGTTAATCAAGAATCTGCGAGATATCTGTCGATCCAAGGTGCTCGACTACCGGAGCCCCCGAAGCTCACTGATTTGAAGAACTACCATGTTTGGCGTCTCTACATGGATGCTAAAATCAAAATCGACAAGAATGCGATCACAAAGAACGAGGCCGATCCTGAGCTTAGGGAGATGATCGTGTTCTTTTACACACTCTGTCACATAGGCTTGAACGTCCAAGAGCAAGTGTCCCCAGCCCTGGATCTAGCAGATGTCACCAGGACCTTCAATTATACGGACTTGTTGAATTATATAGGTCACAATTTGGCAACATCGTATGATGAAGAGGGCTTTCAGGACGATGCTCGCGGGCCTGAGATGGCTTCAGATGAGCAGTTCGCGGATTTCCTCTCACGCTTTGAACGGATGGCGGCAAACAAAGCCTGGACGGACGAGATGAAGATCTTGAATTTACGAAGAGGGCTCCGCAATACCCCGATTGAAGAGATGTTGGACTTTCAGCTGAAACTTCCTGCCACATACCCAGATTTTGTCAAAGCCTGCTACGAACTTTCGTCTCGAGGCCGTCGACGATTCAAACGTAGTGAGAGTGATGAGAATAAAGAAGACGATGTTAGCGACATGAGCGAGACTCCAGGGGGAGGTGACCCAGATGAGGAAGAGGCAGTCGGTGAGGAATACGAATCCGGCAGCGAATGAGTGGTTTACCAGGATGTATTCACATATGTCTTCTGGTGGTCGTGTCGCGTTCGCTTGATGTGTTGTTCTTTTCATATTCGAATTTGCGCTTGCTCTTGAATAGGTGTTATACTACGATGAGATCTTTACTATGTATGTAACAATTTAAGTCTTATTTAAGGAGAATGCTAGGGTAAGCAGCATGAGTACGTTCGATTTGAATAGTCATTTTTCTAGAGTCCACTATATCGGGCAAGATCAACCACGACCCATTGTGATCGAATAATTGAGCCGCACAGCTCGTCGCGGGCCTTATGTTTGAAAAATTAATGTCTTTTTGTCTTCAAATCAAGGCATCTCATTCGTTATAAAGACGCGGAACAAGGTACAGTATTTCGATCAGTCTTAGAAACATAATTTAGAGGCGAGTAGCTCGGCTAAGGCACTCTGGACTATTTAGAAGTTGTGGTAAAGAAAGTGTGTACCGTCAATGAAGCTGTGCTGCTCTAGGCTGTCCGGCTAAAAACCTTTTTGGAGGAGCGGGGTTGAAAAGATATTTAGATGTTTCGAATCGAGAATTGGTGTTCTAGGTTTTAAAAATGTTAGCTCGAGGATGCGAAACATGAA